TCCATTCACCCCTGAGAGATTATTGTATCAGTTATTTGTGCCCCAGGATATATTAAAAAGCTATTTAATGGAGATCAATGTTTCCCTTGCAGAAAGAAGAAAGACCATGCAAAACATGGATGACACTATCAGACAATTGAAATTTGGTATTATTTTATGTTTAACAGTGTGCGCACACTTACCTTCAGCAAAACAAAGAAATTTGTGCTTTAAATTGAATGGGCTTTACCGTCTTTGCTTTCTATTTTCTAGTGTGTTTTTTTTTTTCATCATCATTGAAGTATTAATATTTATGATATACATTGCTTGYTTCCTGAAATGCAGTCTTTAATACACCTTTACCATAATGGCTGCAATTGTGTTTTTCCAAAATAAAATAGATATGGTTATTTTGTCACTGTAACATTAAAGAACTATCAGGAATAAACGTTTTTGGAACGTTTTTTAAAAAACTCAGGAAAAAATAGGAAACAAGTTATGGTGAAATAAAAATACAAAGAAATGTATGTAATTTTCCACCAATGGCTTTCTGTCTGTTTGTTTCTGAATATGAAATATGTGAAAACTTTTTCACTGTCATGTGAATGAACTACCAGAAATAAACATTTCTGGAAAGTTTTACAGCCCTGGATAAAATGCGAACAAAGTTATCGCCAAATGAAAATACAAGAAATGTATGTAATTTTCAGCCAAGGTCTTTATAGCCTCGTTCTGGTGTTATGATATATTTTAAATCCTTATAACTTTGCCAGTATTTAATACTTTTATTACAAACTTTTATATGTTGTTATTAGCACAGGTTCCTATCAGCTGTTAGTTTCCTTTGACTAAAATTCTAAATTAAAAAAAAAAAAATGTTAATTAGATGGCAGCCATTATGGTAAAGGTGTATATCAGTGCATTGGAAACTTAAAAGTTATGGACGCACACGATTTAATTGTATTTTGTGTACACCAGATTCGTTTTTAACACTATTTTGCGCATTCTTATTACAGATGATGACTTCCGGCATTCATCGTCAGACAGCGACTCCTTCCTTGGTAAGGACGTTGATTTTGAATTTTCAAATTGAATACATCATAGTTCCCGTTTATTATAAATCGGTTTTCAATGTTTCTTTGAAATGTTCCTTAATTTGATTTCGAAAGACCTTGGTTTTCGCGCGCACAACATTTGAACAACAAAATCAACCAATTTGTAAACGTACAAAATACGGATTSAAAAGGCTTAATAAAGCAAAACTGGTCTCCGTTAAATGCTTGTGAAAGAGAGAAGAAGAAAAGTTAAAGTGCACATGAAGCCTAATTTTAAGATTTTTTTTTCAAATGTGGAGAATCATTGGAGAGTCGTACAAAAAGAATTTTTTAAATCGGTGAAATTGTTAATTTTTGGAAAATTTTTGAATTTCGCGGTCTTTCAAGAAATCGAGGTCCTCTAACAATCTGGGAGCCTGGGTCGAGTGACGTCTACAAAGGATCCCTGATCGCCGCGCTACATATCGCAACTTCGCAAACACATCAAGTAAGTCTGTGAAATTCTGAAATACTTCATAAAAAAA